ACCCATAGTAAAGCAGAAAAAATTCTCCTCTTAGGATTCCAGTAAACAATCCAAAAAGAAGTCTACTGCCCTCATTGAGTTAGCACAGAAGCTTCTTCAACAAACAGCCAGTGAAAGTAGTTCGTCTGCATCCTCTCAGGCCTCAGTTACACCATCCTTGGATCCGTTTCAAGATAGCTAGGATTCTTTCGTAGGATATGATGACTTAGCCGACATCACTACCCCATGATTATTATCCTTACATGTGATAACTTCAATCACTACTCTCAAAAGAGGGAAAAACTGTTTGTCACTTGTAATTATATTATATCATATAGTAAAGTCAGACTCTTTCTCCAGTAAAGCAGCCGCCCATCAGTATCCAATCTGCTTTCCCACTAAAAGTAGATTCTTCAGCCAACAGCAGGGGTCCACACCTGCATTAGTCAAGATTTACCAAAGTAAAAGACTTTTCACTCTTGCTTTTCCACTGAAAGTTAAAGTGAAAAAATATTTTACCTTAGTAAAAGCAGTAAAAGGTAATCATGTCAGGATTCCCTTTGAAGGCTCTCTCCTCCTATATAAGGACATCAGTCTTCACCAGCAAACCAAGTGTGTTTTCACACAACACTACAATCCAGTAAACACTATCTTACCCTTTTCTCATATTGTAATCTGTTCTTCATCATAAGACAAATGAAGATGTAGAACCTATCCTTAGTTGCTTATTTCCACTAGCATAACCTAGTGTTGTAAGTATTTTATTTCTGTTATTGTAATTTTAATATTTTGTTAATACAAAGAAATTTTTAGTAACTCATTTACAATTCACCTTTATATCTACAGCTTGTGATTCTCCTCATGTCTTTCCTTATTCCGCACTTGTTTATATTTTGGTATGATATATTTATATACATATAATATATATATATATATATATATATATATATATTATATATATATATATATTTATGTATGTATGTATATACTTGTTGTTAAATCTCTTATTTAAATTTTGAATTATATTTTAATGCATCTTGATTCATGCATTTTTTTTTTAGAAAGTGATTTTATTTTCAAAGTAATTTAATATCCGAATAGTGTAATAGTGTAACAATAACAATGTAACAATAAAAGTGTAACAGTGTAACACTAATAATGTAACAATATAACAATAATAGTGTAACAAGTTATTTACACAAAATATTGTACTATTGCATTTTGTTACACATAGTTTCATATAATTTCATTCAAAATAGTTCATCTCTATTTTGATTTTGTTACCATATACACAAAACTACTGAACACTGTTTTTGTTACAGTGTATTTGTTACAGTGTCTTTGTTATAGTGTATTTGTTACACTGTTATTATTACACTGTTATTGTTATACTATTACATTATTCGAATATTAAATTAATTTGTAAATAAAACTATTTAAAAAAAAAACGCTTGAATCAAATATGCATTAAATATAATTTGAAAACAAAACACTTTTCAAAAAAAAAAAATACTCATGAATCAAGATGTATTAAAGATAATTCAAAATTTAAATAAAAGATTTAACAACATATATATATATATATATATATGTGTGTGTGTGTGTGTGTGTGTATTCGTATATACGTGTATATAAACAAGTATACATGTATTAATAAATATATATGAACCAAATGTGCATTAAATACGTATATATATGTATTAATAAACACACATGAATTAAGGTGCATTAAAGATAAAAGATTTTGAATTAAATGATCATAAAATGAGCATTGATGTCTTTTTTACTCACTTTTTGCTAAATAAGTCTAATTAGATGTACCAGCTTCTAAAGAACCGAACTTAAAATGAAAATGCAGCCCACCCAAAATAGTACACCTAAATGAGAGGCAAAAACCTTTCGGGCTGGCCCAAAAAAAATAAAATATATAATCATGTTTTCTATTTATTTTATTATTCCTTGGACACCTCCAATCCACTAACTAAATCTTCATTTTTAGTTAATTTGGTAAGGTTTGCTCAAAAAAACTGCTCCAATCGGCTTGTCATCTCGCTAACTAAAATCTATGAGATCTTTGTTGTTCACCAGATCTAGAGAGGAGAAGAAGCTCATCAAATTGCTTGTCTGACTTCATTGTCTTCTCTAAGGATTAGTCTAGGTAATCTTCTTTATCTCCCACCTCTAATTTGCAAATCCCCTCTCCCAATTTCGAAACCCCCTAACCTTGCCTCCCCCGAAACTCAATTTGAAAACCCTCCTTCTCCCGATTCTGAATAACCCCTTCTCTGAAAACCAAATTCTGAAAACTCTCTTTTCCCAAATTTTGAAAAACCCTTTGTATAATGAAATATTTAATTTTAGACCCTATGAAATATTAATACAAATATTTGTGAAAATTTTAAATTATAATATTAGTCTACATGGTATTTTAAAATTATATTATTAAAAGTTAGTTGAAGTAATTAACTAAAATAGAGAGTCTGATTTAAGTGAATTTAAAAAAATGGCTAGTTAAAGTAAACAGTACAATACAATATTTAAATATATTTTGACTAACTAGTTTACTGAATAGAGTTGGAATTGCTCTTACACAGAAAATACACGTTGTCTATCACTTGCCAATTTGACCCTTAAATTGTTATCTCCTCTCGTTCTCAAACCATTAAAACTTAAAATGAAAATTCTCGAATCAACAACCTTTCTCTTGATCTTGTAGTTCGAAGAGATAAAAAAATATATATGAAATTCAATTTTAAACCATAAAGAATATAACATATCAATCTTTTTGATTACCTTATTTTTTTGGTTTAGCGATCAGGAAATGCTTAGATCAATTTTATGTGTACTCAATTAATTCATTATCTGGTTTGGTTAAAGACATCTCATTCATGTTGAGATTAGGGTATTCATGAATAATAAATCCCTCATAATCTGACTTCAATGAATTATCAAGATTTAAATTGACAACGTTTAAAATTATAACTCATCACTATAATCACTTGAGCAACCATTTTAGATTATTGATTATATTTACTATTGGTTAATAGTATCTAAATTGGTCAAGTAGGATTGGTCTAATTCATTAGCAATGTATGTTTTATTTTATACAATAATAAATTCCTATTTGGAATCTAATTTCTCCATTCTATTTGGTCAACATCACACTCGAAAATAACGGTCAACTTAAAAATGATTTGAAAGTTACTATATGGTAATGTGACAAAATATTGCATTTTCTTACCCTGCAACTAAATGGACAGGGGGATTCGTGAAGTATAATGCTATATAAACACATAAAATTATTTATCCATCTTGTTTAATTCTCACAAGTGGATGAGTTCTGCTCGAATATTTAATTAGGCCAATTAAATTACTTCATACAAAATCAGGGCACAAATAGAAATACGTCGAAGTACAGGTATCTTTAAAGATATAAAATAATTTTTTTAAAAATTTTTATGGTTCAAAGTGTAATTCATCCTCATTTATTATTTTATATCCGCATTGCGCCCTCTCTCTCTCTCTATCGGTTTCTTTTATTTGGTTTTTTTCACTGCACTTTCTTGTTTCACCTCTCAGTAGTTCCGAGTCCGAGAGAGTCAGTAATGAAGGAATAGATGACTCCCCCGTTCTCTTCGAGCCGTTTAATTCGGCGAATCACCGGCCACATTCTCACCGGAACGTCAGATTCCGAAGACATTGCAGCCACGACATTCACATCGCTCTTCACGAGGTCTCGTTTCACCCCTAAGTAGACCTCTGGCTCTTCGATTTGTCAGAGCTTGCATTTTTCTGATGCTGCGAGACTTTTAGTCTTGGCAGTACTTTTACGTTTCTGCCTTTTTAGTTTTTACCCTCTCGTCCGATCTCCCTTTTCGAAGGTAAAGTGAATTTCTCTCTCTCTCTCTCTAGATTTGCTTTTATTCTGCTATAACTGCATCTTTTTAAAATGACCTTTTGAATCTCGATTCCTCCTTTTGTTTTAATCTACAGTATTTGGACATAATCGTGTGATGTAGTCTATTTGTGGCTTATTTTACTCAAAAATTTGATATTTGACTATTCCTGTTGTTTTTATTAAGTTCTTGATTGCAGATTTGCTTGCAATGCGATGAATTTTAGCTTTTTCTTTGGTTTTTTGGGCTTGAATCTGTTGGTTTTGAACAAATTATGTGGGAAATTACAGGGCTTTTTTAGCAATGTCTAACAATTGATAAGTGATTTTAATGATTTTCTTTTCAGGCACTTGGAGCTTTATTCTATCTTATTGTGACTGCTTGATGTTTACTTTCATGTGAGTATCCTGAATTTTCCAGTACCCATTAGGTATATCTATCTTTGTCATTTTTTTTTATATGTTTTCCACGTTGCTTTATTCGTAGAATTTATTTACTGGCTTTTCAAACTAACCCGCGCTCTCTCTCTCTCTCTCTCTCTCCATATGCGTCTACATATTTGTGAATTGTCCCGTTAATTTCAGTGGATTGTATAAGTAATTGGTACATTCTTTGAATTTTAGCCCGAGGTTGCATTTTGAAGCTCGAAGTCATCGAGCTTGGAAGCATATTTTTGTTTTTTGTTTGTTTTTGAAAAAGAATTGAGAAGTACCAGGGTTTCGGTGAATTTCAACATAATCTTCTTGTCTAGCAGACACAAAATTAACCTCAACCTTTTTCCATCGTAGTTATTTCCAGCCTTTTGGTTTTATCTAGTGTTTGCTGTACAAATGGAGACAAGTTTTGTGATCTTTTTTCTATTTTAAGTAATTTTGTTTAACGACTTTGTGAGTCTAGCGTTTGTGAGCTAGCGTGACCTGCTGTTTTTGTTTTTATTGTTTAACTCTCTTTCTTATTATATCTTATGTACTTGTTGCATTATTGTAATGAATTAAGTGTGGATAAGGGAAGTGTTGGCTACTTTGATTAACTACTAATTAATGCTGTAGTGTTTTCTTTGGAAAATAATTTTTTCATACAGCAATTCGGAGTGATATTATGATATGTGCCATCTTAGGTGTTGAAATGAATGGGTTTCAGAATGGAAAAGCTCCCAATCTTGAGAAACCTTTTACCGGATGCTTGGGAAGAATGGTGAACCTCTTTGATTTGAGTACCAGTGTGGCGGGAAACAGGCTGCTCGCAGATAAACCACATCGTGATGGTGATTTCCTTCGCTAATCTATTCTTTGCTATATGTTATATATCGTCACTGACCAAAATAACCATTCCTTATGATTGAGAAACCATTTTCTCAATGCTGAAATCAATCATATAAAATAGGAAGTCTTGTTATGCCTCTTTCCTTCTATTTGATAGTTATGTCTCATTGTCATCTTAGTTCTGCCTAGATTAGGGGTAGAGTTTGAGCAGGGATTCAAATCTACTCCAATACATTTTTCCTTGATTTCCATCAACAAGAAACCATTCGCCATGTGTGAGTGGGATCCACAAATAAATAATGGGTCCCACTTGAATTCAGGTGGGTGAAATATCATTGGTGTATTGGAGTGGATCTTACTCCATTGAGGTAAAAAATCTCAAACTAATTTTAGATGGATTGTATAATGAATTATTGCCCAGCTGGCAGACATGAAAGGAACTTGCACTCTCCATCTTCCTTTAATTCTTCATGTGTTGAACTTGAAAAAGGCTAGTGAAAATTTCATATTGCATTTGTACAGGTCTCTGCAGGTTGTATTGTGCATCTAGAGCAAGTGAATATTGCTTGAATCAATACTAATTTTCCCTCGTGAAATAAATTCTTCAGAACAAAATAATTGGTTGTGTTAGATCACTTAATTTCATCCTTAATTTTTTTAACTTTCCAAGCCTGCTTATCATGGTAATACATGATGAACAGGTTCTCCACTCTCAAGGAGCCAATCAGACACAGCAAGAATAAGTCCAACTGAGGTCGAAATAGAGGATAAAATGGTAAGCTTTTAAGTTGATTATCTCTTTCATTATTCATGGGAATAAAACTAATCTGATTCTTCTCAGAATGTATCTCTGGTGCTGAGCTCTGATATTGTGGGCTTTTATAGTGTGATACTGATTGTTGTATTGCTGGTCTGGGTCACACAGATGGTCTCTAACTTAAGGAGAACTTCTTCAAACTGGAAATCAAATGGAACTCCCATGAAGATGCTTATAGCCAATGAAATGTTGAAAGAAGTTGAATCTAAGCATAATCCACCAAATGTGGTTGCCAAGTTGATGGGGCTTGATGCCCTCCCATGCCGGCAATCTGATTCAGCTGCACAAACAATCCTTTCAAGAGATTATTCACGAAGTCATTCTGGTATACACTCAAGTTATTGGCAGCAAGACCATGGATCATTGGACACAGAAATACATCATGAGATTCATCAATATCCGGAGCAGAACAAATCCAAAGAAGTGTATGAGATGTGGCAGCATTCACCAAAAACAAGTTATGACAAAAATACATCACTGCAGAAGGGGAGATGTAAAGAAACTACGAATGAGAAAAAGATGGCTCTCGTTCACCAGAAGTTCATCGAAGCAAAATACTTGGCCATGGATGAAAAACTTCGTCAGTCCAAGAAATTCCAAGAAGCATTAGATGTTTTAAGTTCTAATAAAGATTTATTCCTCAAGTTTCTACAGGAACCCAATTCCCTGTTCTCTGAGCATCATTCTGATAAGCAGTGTATTCGTCCACCTCCCGAGACAAAGCGCATCACTGTTCTTAAACCATCTAAAATGACAGATAATAACAGATTTGCCGGACCGGGGAGGAATAATGGAGAACAGACGAAGAAGGCAGTCCACGTGGGTCTGGTTAATGGATTGACTAATAGCAATCATGGATTCTCCCCTCCTGCAGCAAGTTGGAAGATTGATGAAAATCCTACTCAACCCACTCGAATAGTGGTACTAAAACCTAGCCTGGGAAGCCTCATGACATTAAGGCTGTTATTTCACCACCTTCCTCATACCCAAGAAAATTGCATTCTAAAGAAATCAATAGGGAACCAGAAGATAATGAGGCACGGGAATCAAGAGAATTAGCAAAAGAGATCAGTAGGCAGATGCGTGAAAGTCTAAGCAGACAGCAAAGGGATGAAACTTTACCTGCTTCTGTGTTTTCGAATGGCTATAATGGTGATGAAAGTTTATTCAATAAGTCAGAGAATGAGTATGTAGCAGAGAATCTCAGTGATTCAGAGGTTATTTCACCAGCTTCTAGACATTCGTGGGATCACATCAATAGGTATTGTAGCCCTTATTCTTCGTCTCCCTTCAGTCGTGTATCTTATTCTCCTGAGTCATCAGTTTGCCGAGAAGCAAAGAAGCGACTCTCTGAAAGATGGGCGATGATGTCATACAATGGGAATTGTCACGAACAAAAACATGCATTTAGAAGCTCAAGTACTCTGGGTGAGATGCTTGCTGTCTCCGACGTGAAAAACTGGGTAAGATCTGAGGAAGGGGATGGTAATCCCAAACAAGAATCTAGGGGATCAACTTCATGCTTCACTGGTGATTTGAACAAGGACGGAAGAGTTGATAATTCTCCTAGGAATCTCTTGAGGTCAAAATCTGTTCCTATATCGTCTACAGTGTACAGCACCAGGCTTGATGTAGGAGTTTCAGATCCTGAGGTGGGCAAAACAGATGCTTCCTCCAATGAGGTAACCAAGGCAAGAAGCATGAATTCATTGTTAAAGGGGAAAGTTTCAAGTTTATTTTTTTCAAGGAATAAAAAATCTGATAAAGAAAAACCTATGGCATCTCAATCTACCAGAATGCCTGTGCGTCCCCCGGGAAAAATTTGTGATGATAGATATCAATGTCTTAATGACCTTCAGCTTTCATTCAGCAAAGCGTCTTCCCTTGATTTGGCCAGCAAGGGATCAAAACAGGGCATAATTTCTCCCGAGGTAATTAATATTTCATTGATGTGCACATTAGCTGTTAACCCACCCACCCTCCCACACACATTGTGATATAGGTTCCTTGTTTTTGAGGTTAGGAGGGTGAATTCTGAGGATTTAGGCTCAGCACTTTTCCCCCATCACATTTTTCTTTTCTATGTATTTGTGCACGTCTTTAAACCTCGTTCTCTTTCTTTCAACATTTGGATGTCGTTGAAGTATAAATACTTAAATTACACCATTTCCAACAACTTAAGCTTTTAGAGTAGATGGTTGTTTAACATGGTATCAAACCCTGTGTTTGAATCTTATTGCCATCTTAATTATTAAAAAAAAATTCATGTGCTAGGCCCCAAATCTAGCTTACACATGAGGGAGCATGTTGAAGTATAAATTACTTAAGTGCGTGTTGAAGTATAAATTACTTAAATTATACCCTCTCCAGTAACTTAAGTTTTTGGAGTAGATGGTTGTTTAACTAAATAACTAGTCTTAACTCTGATTTCTCAAATTCTTACACGTTCAGTTTCTCTCTCCTTTTTGCAATTTCTGGGAGAAGAAAATATTTTGTCCATCAACCGAAGGTACACATATGTTACTACTTACTAGGGCACTAAGGCAGCGTTGGTGGATGGTGGACACTGACCTGGCAGTAAAAAAAATTATGGCAATGGTGGGTGCATGCGCCAATTATTGTGAAACTACTCATGTTCAACACACTGATATGACTGATAAAATCGTGTGGAGGCGTTGATGGGCAAAAACTTGTATTGGCACATGGTCTTAATTGGTCATTAAACAATGAGTGCCTCTTTCTTGTAGCTTAACAGTGTCATTGTGTTCCATATCTGTATGGGTTTTGGAGGAAAGAAATCACATCATGTCTTTAACCAGAGCTCTCTACTTTCTGCAGGGTGGATTGTCGGTGACAAAGCCTGTGGTGTTTCGAAGTCCAAATGAGAACCAGGACCAACCAAGTCCAATCTCAGTCTTAGAGCCACCATTTGAAGAGGATTACTATTCCACATCAGAGTCCTATGGTAATGTAAAGCCTAACCGACTTGGTAAATTCTGTTGATATCCAACCTAAAAACCTTCATTTCTGTTTCTTTTTTCATGTTTGGTATAATTGGTTGTCATGTAATGGAACAGGATTAGCACTACCTGTTCACCACATGAAATCCGACCTGATTGACAGATCTCCACCCATTGGATCAGTAGCTCGGACTCTATCACAGGATGATTTTTTTGCTGATACAGCTTGTTCATATCCATCAAAATCCTCCTCGGCCTTCCAACGAGCCGAGGAAGAACATGAATGGTTCTTCTTTGTACAAAAGTTATTGTCAGTGGCTGGCTTCGATGGTGAGGTTCAATCTGACTCATTTTTGGCCAGATGGCATTCGCCTGAAAGCCCATTGGACCCATCATTGAGAGACAACTATGTCGATCTGAATGACAAGGAGATAGCGCATGAAGCTAAGCGAAGGCAAAAGAGATCAACCCGAAAGCTTGTGTTTGATTGCGTCAATGCAGCGCTGGTGGACATTACAGGGTACGGGTCAGACACATGCCAAAGAGACATACCATGTAGCATGGTCCACAGTGGATTCCTAGGGGGTGTACCATCCATAATGGCCGACCAGGTGCGGGCCCGGGTGAAGGAATGGTGCTATGGGGAAGTAAGGTGTGTTTCGGGTGAGGATAGGGACAGTAACAGCCTGGTTGTGGAGAGGATTGTGAGGTATGAGGTAGTGGGGAAAGGTTGGATTGAGCATTTGAGATTGGAAATCGATAATTTGGGAAAAGAAATTGAAGGGAAGTTGCTGGAGGAACTTGTGCAAGAAGCTCTGGTCGAATTGACAGGTAGAGTGTGATAAGGATTTTTTTTTTTTATCTTATTATTACCCCTTTTTGATTTACAAAACCTGTGGATTATTATGTTTCTGAAGATAGTGGCCCTACCTACCGCTATTTGTTTAGTGCTGCAAGTTGTTGCCAATGTGTATTTATTTATCAGTAATGCTTAGACTGGTCAAATTTTAGAACCAAATTTAGAGCTAAAATAACATGGTAATCGACTATTTAAAGTTTTTATTGGAGCTTAAATGACATGACATTAATCAAAGATGTCCAAGTCAACTGTCATGGTATTTGCGCTCTAAATTTGATCCCAAAATTTAATCAGTCTATCATTACTCTTTATTTTATATGTAGGTTTCTTTGTGTACGTCTAATGTACACTAATTTAGGTGACTACTAACAATACCTTGAAAATCATGGGAAAATATTTAATGTAACAGTACTATCACGTTATTATTATTAAAAGGTGTAATTAATTAATTATAAATAAATATATAAGATTAGTGACCAATTTTTGGTTTGTATTGTCACGTGGTGTCACCAATTTTTGGACCGAATATTGAAGATCCACCGTTGCCGAGTTGTGTGTACGAAATGGTGTGGTGAAATAATAATTTCTTATGAATATCCTAATTTTGGCGTAGATAATCTACTTTTAATCAAAATAGGGAGAAAATTAGTGAAAATGTGCGTAAGTTGGTATGAAATCAAATAAAAAATAGCAATGTTTGGATGAATTTTGGGGAGGGATTTAAATTAATTTCTCAAAACTCAAATTCCTCTTTGTAAAGTTGGGATTTAATATTCAATTCAATTTATATCCATGATATGTAATATATACATATGTAGGATTTACGGATATATCATAATTATTAATAATTATTTATTTTGTAAATGATTATATTATTTTTAGTTAATCCAATTCATACTCATGTTAAGAGAATACAATTATCTTTTGGATTTTTAATCCCTTACCTATCTTCTCAAACTCAACCTCTCCCTAAGTTTGATGAAACTCATGATCATAAGTTTAATCTTCGGGCAGGGTTAAGTTTAAAAATCTGAGATTAAATTTTCTATGCAAATATAAAATTTATGAGAACTTTGAACTATTTTCTCCAAATCCATCTCGACAAACTCATACCCCTTCTCAAAGAGCCTCTAATTGGTTAATGGTTTTTGAATTACTTGAGTGCACCTAACTGGTTCCGTGAGTAGCTGAAAGAAGCTATCGTACGAGTAACAGCCCAATGTAAATGACAATCAGAGAATCACATGGGAATGAAAGCATTACCACCTACTCCATTACGTTTAGCTTGGAAGTCCTGCTTGTGTCATCTCAGTCGCTGTCTGGAAATTGTATGGTGTTAAAACTCAACTAATTTATGTTTGACTTCGATATGGTGTCAAATTAGTGCCGAGTATAAGTTAATGTATAGATTGTGGTTGGAGAGTTAAATTTGGTACATTTATTTTAGAATTTTAATAGATCCAATCGTTTATTATTTAAAATGATTAAAAATAAATTAATTTTATATCGATTTCGAGAACATAATCAAGAATTGCAAGATCTAGATGTAGTGTAGGCTGCTGTCCAATGGGCTATTTTGTTCGCTGGTCTAAGGAAGTGGGCTAGAGCTTCGGCAGACATGGGACCAGATTTGAGTTTGGAGATGGGCTAACGGAGCTGGATAGCCACCTGTTTTTGGGCTTAAACATGGGCTTTCAGCTGTGAGCAGACAAGTCTGACTTGGCCATACAAATTGAAGGGAACTCTACACTATTGCTATTGCCGATTATTATTTTGTACGATAAAATTATAATTGTTTAAAAAAGGTCATAATCAATCGCCTACATCTATAAAAAGAACTGTATCAATCTCAATATTTCTTAATTGATCGTGTCTTTTGAAATTATAACTTACAATTCAAAATTTTTTTACCTTAATCTTCAAAAGTTGTAATTTTCTTAACACCGCCATTGGTACGTTAGAAGTTCACCAAATTGAAATTAGAGCAGTAATTCATTAAATATATCTTATTTTTCGGCCATTAAATTGCCCACTACCCCTGCAAGTTTCCGGAAACTACCGCCTGCAAATTAACCTCCATTTGTAAGATCAAATAAAAAAAATCAGATATTTTGTGAAAATTAGTCATAGCCCGGCACGATAAAATATAAGATTCTAGTGTTAAAAATTGATCTCACTATATCAATTTAAAATTAATTTTTTTACTTACATCATTTAAAATTAATTTGCATCTATTATTTTTTTAAAAATAGCGTCAAATTTTTTTCAAAATACATAACTCGATAAATTTTTTTAATTTGTGTACATTATCGTGTATGAATAATATATAAAATAAAAAGTTGTGTTAAACTATAAATTAACTAAATATTAAATAATTAAACATGTGATAAAATTTAGTGATGTGATTTTTTTTTAGAAAAAAATGTATAATAAATAAAGATTCAACTTGTTAGATGATTTATTATTATATAGATGTCTTGTAAAAATGTACAACAAGAAGCTCTTTAGCCGATTTAAAAAAAAATTAAACAAAACAGAGCTCTTTAGTCATGCTCACAACAAAATCGATGAAAAATCATTTGTTGGGTATATATAAGATAACTATTTTTTTGGAGTAAATAAATTCCACTTTCATGCATTCTTAATTTAGGGATTTTCATTAAGGAGAGAGAGAGAGAGAGAGAGAGAGAGAGAGAGAGAGAGAGAGAGAGAGAGAGAGAGAGAGAGAGAGAGAGAGTTGAGATGGATGATTGCAAGTTCTATAATGAACCCATAATGATAGACAGGAAATTGCTTGAGCTTCTATGTGATGATCCAAAAGATGATCATGACTCACTACTTCACCTAAATAGTTGATTCATTACTTGCAAAAACACTATGAAGTGAGAAAAAACTTAAATAGTAAAGATATGTTTATCAATTTTTTTATCAAACCAATGAACAGGTGGATTAATAAATTTCATTGAAAAAATTAGCGAGACTCGTTAATTCAACACTCCATTTTAATTAGTAAGTAAAATTTAATAAAAAAAAAATAGTAAGGGTAGCAAATTAAACCGAAAAGCAAAGTAAAATGTAATGTACTAATTTCTAAGTAGAAATAAGTCCATGTCCGGAAATAAATGATTAGTGGACAAGAAAGAGCGTCAACCCCACAGGAAGGACCACATGTAGTACATTAATGAAGCATGACCTTTCACACCAATAATAGGTCTCAGTGGGCCTCAGCCACTGGATTTTTATTGCCCAAGAGAACTGAAAATCGTACTTCCGCCACTGGTTAAGGTTAAAGGTTAACAGCAGTTATTGTTTGGGTGCAGGAGGTGGATAATTACCTCTATTTTACTACCACTACCACTCTATTTTTAGGGGAGAATGTAATCAATTATGCAGGATGTGTATGGTGTTTTCTCAAAAGTGAGTGGGGTCGGTCTGTCATTAACTACTTTGCAGGGATATAGACGAGCAAAAGCAATCATCTTTATCCAATAAGTATTCTGGATTTGGGAATTGGATCAATTAGTGGAATGTTAATGCATAGTATCCCATGATAGCAACTGTTAACCCATCAATCATAATTTAGTTGATCAAGACTTATTCAAGATCATTAGTCAATAAAATGAATCAAACTTGACACCAATTTTGGACGGTGTCTAATGCCATCGTGTTGAATCGACGGTCTGTTCGTTTTAATTAGGTTCATGAACATTTATATAATATATAGTACTAGTTATTTCTTGTATCCGAAAGTATGAAGTAATAAAAATGATTAACAATAAACATATTTATATTAACATTTAAAATCAAATTACAAAAATATAAGAGAGAAAAAAAAATTTAAGCATCAGTTGTAGTAGAGGTAAGCGGTGGTAGTGGTGATGGTTATGATGGGTGGCAACGACCATGGTGGTGGCGGGCGACGATTATGATGGTTGGTAGTGGTGGTGGTGGGGCTACAACGGTGGTGGTTGGTAGTGGGCAATGGATGGTGGTGAGATTTGATAGTGGGTGGCAAAGAATGGTGGCAGTGGGCAACAGTGGTTGTGAAGTGATGACAATAGTTGTTGGCGGTGAGCAACAAGTGGTGGTGGAGTGATGACGGCAGTGGTTGGCGGTGGGCAACAAGTGATGGTGGGTTAGAGGTTTGGCAGATTCAAATAACTCTATGAAGTATATTCTTCGGAAAGGAAATCAATGTGCGGATGGACTTACTAATTTAGAGGTTTGGGAGAAGGAGACGTGTCCTTTTCTTTAGTAGTCCTCCGGCGAAGATTTCTATGATATTTAAGGCTGATCTGCCCGGCATTTCTTTTGTTGGAGAGATTTAGTGGCTTTCTTTTTAATTTTCCATTGTACCCAAAAACTAAAAAAAGAGTAGCCGTTGCAGACAGCTTAATTATATCACAAAGGGGGAGGGGGTTATCTGCCGACTAAAACAATTAATGTTGGGACACCTTTTGTTTGTCATATTAATGCTCCACATTATATCAAGTGTCCACTGTGAAATGTACCATAGAGGAATGCATTCTTTCATGACCTATAAAACATTTTGAATGATCTCATTCCTTGCCATTTTTGGAACCCAATAGGGATTTTGAACAAAGTTGAAAAGTCCAAGCAAAATTTTAAGTCATCCAATTATTTCTTTACAGCTATTAGCATTTAATTTGTAACCAAAAAAAAAATTTAATTCTTAGTAATTTGAAAAGAGATGATCTTCATTACATTTTTTTTTTTCAATTCATTCAGCTATAGATCGACAAAAATTGTATATCAATGAATCGTCTATAAGTAAACTCAAACTACTATATTAGTCCTGCCACAAGTTGAGACTAAAATAAGTGAATGAAATGAAACAATCAGGCAGCCTCTCCCCCAAGAAAATATTGGGTATAATGGCTATATCATGTTGCCATGTTAATATGGTGCAATCGTCTATTGATAGGATAATAAATGCACAAGTGAATCGCATATAATTAAATAATTACCTATCTATGTTATGCAATAACTATTCATGTAAGATTCAGTAACCTACTTATTATCTTATAATTAAACGGTTACACCATATCATCAAGCTAACGTGGTGTCAATGTTGACTCTAGGCATAGGCAACTAAAGTGCTTGACTAGAGCCTCAAATTTTAGAGTGCCCCCCAAATTTTCTAATAGGCAGGGGTGCAACTTGGGTTGAGCAACCTGAGTCTAACCCAAAAAAATTAGGATTTGGGCAAGGATTTTTAATACTTGAGTTGAATTTAGGTCAAAAAATTCTAATTCGAATTCAATTTGGGTTGGGCTTGGGTTAAGGCCTCATGAACCCGAGCTCAACCCGAACCCGACAAATTAATAAAAAAATATATATATATATATATAA